GGGGGGGGGGGGGGGGGTTGGTTAGATATTAGGCTTGTGAATTTGGACCTACCCTAATTTTATTATTCTTCTTTTTGTTTTATTTCCCTTGAACCATGCACGGATTGAATGTGAATTATTCTTAAGATCAAACTTTCGCGCAAAAGTAAAAAATCGCCAAACTTATATATATATAATATATATATTATATTATATATATATAGGATTAATTGATTATGGAGGTTAGAGGTATGAATTGATATCTGTAGTGTGAGATAGTAAGTTATAGGTTCATGCTTAGTATATAAGTATATGTAGTATAATAAATATAGGTTTATTATAAAGAAGTGTGCATCGATAGAGTAGGAGAAAGGGACATGGATTAGATGTGTATTGGTAGGATAATGGCAGATGCATTGTATACGTTAAAAGGTATGAAGACGTCGGATCGAATGGTAGATATGAATAGTATGGGATAGTAGAGACTGAAAGATATAGAGCTTAGAATTAAGTACAGAGGGTATATGAAGACATATTGATTGAGGTGATAGGTATAGGGAGTAGTGAGATAGTCAAGGTATATGAGTACGATTACTTGGCAGGTAAAGATCCAGTGTTTAGTCAGAGGATTAGAGAGAGATTTGGAGATGTTGTAGTAGATAGTAGTTCAGGTACTATTGATGTGCGCACTTTTTGGTTAGGTAGTTGAAGTGATAATGTCGTAGAGATATATGTTAGTGTATACGTGGTAGAGGAAGAATATATTAGTGACTAGTAGAGCTGAGAGTGTGTGTAGGTGGTTAGGTAGGCGCTACGGAAGAAATTATGTTGTGTGGTCTGTATAGGAGGAGTTAATGTGCTATGTGATGATAATAGTGTTTTAGTATGATGGCTTTGTATGGATCTGACGAGGCAGAATGTAGAATTTGATTGTATAGCTATTTATTACGGAGATGGCTGAAGTTTTTAGTGGTGTATGTGAGTTATTATGAGTTATGAATTTGATGATCGTTACATGATGGAGTGTATAGTGAGGTATGAATATAATAGTAAGCATATTTTAAGACGTATGTGAGTTGAGCGTGGTTGAGACATCTGAGGAGAAGGGGAGTTCAGACACGGGGGATATGTATGAATTAAAGAGTTTTTGATATAATGGTCTAAGAGATTTGAGGCATTTGCAGAAGATGAAATAGATGATTCTAAGAGTGTTAGCGACGAGTCCGTAAAGGTGTGGAGTAGGAGAGAAGGTAGGATTATAGGTGGTAGCAAATTGAGGGATAGTTAAGTAGTAGATGAGATAGTGTGAGTATGGTGATATGTTTCTAATTGGTATATTAATACTGTACTTATGTTTGTAATATAATAATAGGCTATTCTTTTTCTAAACGAATTTGGACAGATATAAATACATTTCTCAAATTTTTTTTAATTTAGTAATAGGATATTATAATATATTTTTCAAATTAAATTAGTAATAGGAATTCTTAAGAAATTATATTCTAAAAGTAATGGGATTACATGACTAAAAAATATTTACCTTGTTCAATTTTAAATGAATTAGACAGCCGGAAAGTATATATACTAATAGGATTCCTAACATTACAAACATAAAGATCTAAAAGTGAAATGTCATATCAATCTTTTTACTCTTTAGAATATAAATTGATGGTGGATAAAATTATAATTACGATTAAATGTTCAAAACAAGATATGAAACTAAATATTAAGAACCTTAATCATACCTATAATAGTATTATTTTTTTATAATTCAAACAACAATACTAAGGTCTGTTAATTAATTACTTTAGCAAGAGAATCCATTTCAATTTTTTTAAAAATTTATATTACGAGTAAAATTCTTATTCAAGTTTAAAACAATCCTTAGTGGTACATGAAATAATTCCAAAAAAAGCGTTCACAAAAACAAAGTAAAAATGTTAGGATTATTTATTAAGAATCAAAAATGCTACACCAATTGTCTGAGGAAGCACATCAAAGCTACATCCTAAACAAAACAAACTTTTCAAGACGTATGATTATAAAGAGTCGGACTCAGGTATAATACGCGGATTATTCTTTGTAGATGCCTCCGGCGGAATCGATAGTAATATTTTCTATGTCATGCCATTGATTGCAAACATCATATTAGAGGCATGACACTGCATTAGCAATAATGCAAGTGTTGTACCAACAAATGATTTTATTGCGAGGGCCATCTACCTTTTGGATTTGATATACATCTTTAAAACAAGCGTGTAACTAACCATCACAAATTATAAGCAGAGCCAATGGGCTAAATTTATAAGGAAAAGCAAAATTATAAATATGGGATAAGCATTTATGCTAAGTGTTAAAACCGATCGACAAAATTGCCTGGAGTTTTCATTGCTTCTTCTCTCTCCTCTCTCTCATCTCTCTCTCTCTCTATATATATATATATATATAATAATTATATTATATACTATATTGACATTAATGAAACATATTGGTTGAAAATTAATAGTTTTAGAGGTGATTTTGTCGAAGTATTATCAGTAGTTCCAAAATCGATAAAAGCATAGACTGTAAAAAGCTAGCTTGCCAAAGTTTTACTTCTGGCCGTACGAAAAGATTTCAGACTTACAAGAAATATACAAGTTAATGGAACAAATTCCAATATTTCAATGTCTAACTTGCTTATTGTGTCGAAAAACAAAGAGAGCCACATCCAATAAAGATATTTGTTCTTCCTAAAAACTTAACTTATCATCCAATGGTAATGGTAGTGCATTTAAATAAGAGAAATGGTTTCATTCATTAGATGTAAAAATGCAATCTGTGCAATCCAATGCTAGAATTAAAAAGTAATTCTTATCTAGCCACAAATGAATATGTTGATCAGACTAAATAAAGGGTTGATTGCCAAATTTTATTGTAAAAAAAAATTGTTTTCAGTTTTTGCTTCCAGCAGAAAAATGATAAAATTAATTATTACCAAGAAGAATACCTTAAATATTTAAATAGCAAATGGCCTTTCTACCATAACATGTTTCTTGTAAGTTTCATTATTTCTTATGTATGTTAGTATCACCATATATATATAATTACGACTAAGTTATTAAAATTGATTTTCCATTGTATATAGGTTAACTTTGAGGAAAAATATGTCCATTCATGCATACTGAAGGACTTAGATAAACGAATAGCTTATGCACATAGCTAACACAGATGGTATAATAGAAGTTTTGACAAAATTATGATACTTGGGTTAATGTGTTTTCTAAGTAATATTCCTTATCTGTGAATTAAACTTTAGGTCTCTCCGAAATTAAGGAACATCCCTTTTGATTTGTGTGAAAGTTAATATTTAGTATGTTTTGTTTTACAAATATAATAAATAAAGTAAAAGGACAACATGCCTAAATATTGAATATATTTAACACAAAATTATATTTTCTTGCAATAACAAAACTGTATGGTTGCTACTTTCAAGCGGATATTAAGATTGACAGCAAGAGTTCTGGTTAAGGCAGAGCAACCAATGCATTAGGAGGAAACATACACAAAAAATATTGTTCAAAAAAAATTGTTCCGTTAGATATACATTACATTAGATAGTTTTAACTTATAATATATAATTATCTACTAACATGACCAAAATGATCATTTGTGTAAGTTTTTATTTTAAATTCATGTTTATGCTAATGTAATTATATTTTTTGGTCATTTCGATGATTGTTGTATTATTATACATAAAATTTTTCAGATTAATAAAATTTTATTGTTCTTTTATATAAATAAATATTTAAATCATCACGTGCCATTATTAACGTGCAACGCACGTTCATAGATACTAGTTAGTTAAGATTTGTCCTCATTTAACTTAAAACATCATCAAAGCGTACTTCACATTTTCTTAGAGGAAATTTTATTTTTTGTGCAAGAAATAAAAGATATGCAGAATCAAATATATATGAAAAATTTCAAGATGATTGATAAAGAATCATATTCTTATCTTCCCGTACTCATCGACGAGCAAAAGAGCGACTTGCTTAGCTTACAAAAAAGGAAACTACCAAGTTATGTTCATTTATAAGTAATTTTTACAAAAATTAATCAATTCAGTAAATATTATTAATATTAGCTAAATGTTATTAATATTAGCGAATTAGTTATTCGTAGCCAAAAAAAGGTTAAATCTTTGCTTTCTTATGAAGAGGTGTTTATGAGGTACATTTTAAAAAGTTTGAATCTCAATTTTGGGATGATTTGGCAGAGTTTTGTGGTGGTTTGAAACTTTGAATTGAAAATTCGAAGTAGAAAATGAACATAAAAAAATAATATGTATATCACATATGTATCATATTTGTATCAAATGTGTATCACATGTATATCCGTGTATACCTGTGTGTGTGATACATGCGTGATACATGTATCATAGAAAAAAAAATTTAACACGATTTTAACTGCGAATTTTGATACCAAATCAGTCCAAATCACCTCCAATCTTCCTCAAAATTTGTATATTGACCCATCTATATGTTTTCAATGAATTTCAACCATACCCATTTAAAAATGTCTTTTTATT